AGGCTTTGAAAATCCCTGATATAGCTGTGCGACTAGTCTATTGTCCGTTAGCTTAAGGGAAAGGTGCCAGTTAGACAGTTTGTGATTTTAATCTTAGTAGTCAGTGCTTTTATGATATCAGAAAGGGACACTAGTATGAATAGTGTTTTTATTTTTGAGAGTAACGTTTACAAATTTTTTGGCATATGATTGTTTTCAGACTTACTGGATCCACATGAATGATTAAAAATTAATAAAACAGACTTTTCCTCCTATAAACACCATTATTTTAGAGTCTGATCATGAATATTAGAAATTGTTGTTTTCATTTCTATCGTAAGCAGGCAAAAAGAAACTGCATGAATTAGCACTTTGTAAAATAAAACTTAGGAGTTCGTTTCAGTTACTAATGGCAGTAGAAAAGCATTTTGGAATTTATATCTTCTGGAAAGCCTGATATATTCTATTATAGAATGTGGTAGATATCCAGGTTTGAAAATTACAAATTTGACTATGCGTGGTGGCTCTCACCTGGAATCCCAGCACTTTGGGAGGCTGAGATAGGATGGTCACTTGAGGTCAGGAGTTTGAGACCAGTCTGGGCAACATAATGAGACCCTGTTTGTTTTTTTTAAAAAAAATGACAAATTTGAGATTTTAAAAATTTTCTTTCCTTTAGGCTTGACTCCCAGCATTCTCATCTCACCTTGCCATACTATAAGATGTCTGGTTTGTCTATGGCTGAAGTTCTGGGCCGCATGGACTGGACAGTAGAAGATGGCTTACAGAAATATGAGAAGGGATTAATCTTTTATATTAATCATTCACTTTATGAAAACCTGGATGAAGAATTAAGTGAAGTGATTATGGTTTTCTATTTTATATCTAGTATTTTTAACTTCTCATTTTAGCGATTTATTTTATTGAGTACTGTTTATAAATCAGGTTCCAAATATTTTTCTTCTTTGACATTATTCTTTTCCTAAAAAAGAAATGCACCCTTTTCTACATTAATGAAGATGGTAGTACAGCTTGGAAAAGAACTTACGGGTAACCTTCTCATGCTTTCTCATTATACAGACAGGGACATACGGTCTGTTGTAGTCTCAACACCTGCCCAGTGACAGCAGCACGTCCTCAGAAGAGCTACACAGAACGTGGGCCTTGCCTTCCATCTTCTCATCTGTAGTCCTTCCCGAAACCCTAGTTGTCCCTTACTCCAAGCGTCCAAAACTTCACTTACAAAACTCTGGCCTTAGCCCAGTGAACTTAAGACATTATTAAGGATTGTTTTTAGAACTGGGCACAGTAGCTAATATCTGTAATTCCAGATATTAGGAATTAGGGAGGTCGAGGTGGGAGGACCACTTGAGGTCAGAAATTTGAAACAAGCCTAGGCAATATAGCAAGACCCTATCTCTACAGAAAATTAAAAAATTAGTTGGGCTTAATGGCACGCACCTGTAGTTCCACTACTCAGGAGGCTGAGGCAGGAGGATTGTTTGAGCCCAGGAGTTTGAGGCTGCAGGGAGCCACAGTTACACCACTGCATTCCATCCTGGGCAATACAGAAAAGTCCTGTCTTAGAGAGAAAAGAAAAGATTAATTCTAACCCCTCATGTGTTTTAAACATCTTCGGATGCAAATATGCCAAATTGGAAATTGTGGTGTCAAATGTTATAAGGTTTTGAGAGAAATAAAGTTTTCTCATATAAATTACTTAATTGGGTATATTTTGAACTAAGTAGTTTCTGTGATGAATTTTTGTTGTAAATTAATCAGATATTTATTTTCTTCTGAAGTGTTAAAATTAGAAATGCTGGTCATAACCTGGTACATATTTTTATTGCTTTTTCTTCATTATAATCAGCAAAGGAGATCACTTCAGGTTATCTCAGGCCTCTCATGTATCAGTATCAGTTTTGCCTTTTTAAAATTAAAACATAATCCTATAATTTTATCTTACTTGGAATGTTTGTATCTTGGCTCTTTGCACATATATGTTTTGTTGATTTTGTTGCTTTCTTCTGGCTGACTGACCTTTTATTCCTTTTATTTCTTCATGCTCACCAAAGGAATTAGCAGCAAAAGTGGTTCAGATGTTTTATGTGGCCGAGCCAAAGCAAGTGCCCCATATTCTCTGTAGTCCTTCTATGAAGAATATTAATCCTTTAACTGCCATGAGCTATCTAAGGAAGCTGGATACTTCTGGGTTTTCATCAATCTTAGTGACATTGACCAAGGCAGCAGTGGCTCTGAAAATGGGAGATCTTGACATGCACAGAAATGAAATGAAAAGCCATTCAGAGGTATGGTGCCCTGCCCAGTGTTAACAGAAGGCTGAAATAGGACCTGATAATCCTGACATGTTTAGCTGTCTTCTGGCTTCTTTCTAGCTCATATGTTCTTAGTTGTAATGGAAAATAGACAGTATTAGAAACAAAGTGATCCAAGTGGGACTTTGGATCTGGCAAAATAAAAAGAAATAAGATTGATAAATGGCAGCAGTGGATATCCAAGTACTTCAGCTTAGTGTCAGGTGTGTTCAGAGCACTGAGCTTGGTACTGAAGAACAGGCTCTGCTCCAAAGGGATAATGTGATCTGGCATGAGGGTTATGGTGTGTGTACTGAAAAAGAACCAAGAAATATATATTTAAGTACAGAAAAGGGGATATTAGCCATGAGCTTTAGGAGTCTAGTAGTTGCAGAAATAGTCCCCACTTCAGAAAATCACATGATTTTATGGAGCATTGGACATTTGAATGCTGTACCAAAAAAGACAGGCTTTCCCTGGGAAAAGAGGTCATTTAGGGGCACTACCAAAGGTGTTCATCATTTAGGGGAAGAAAATAAGAGGTAGTGTAATTGAACACTTATTATTTACCAGGGCTATGCTAAGCTCCTTGCATATATTGTTTAATTCTTAACAATGATGCTACAAGGTGGAAGTCATTATACAGATGAGACACAGAGAGGTTAAGGAACTCATCAGGATCACACAGCTGGTGAGTGGTACAGCCAGAATTGAACCAGGCAGGCTGACTTCAGAACCTGTGCTCCTGCACTTTTTTGTTGCCAGATTGTGCCAAAGCCCACAGTATGACTTGGGTTGCTAAAAAAGGAAGAACGTAAGTGCTTTATCGCCGAACAAATGACATGGACAGACATTGTTATGATGAGAGCAAATCAGCATTGGGATGTCTTCTGTTTTGAAGATTAGAATTCTAGAAAAATGAATTTTCTCTTCATAATTTTGAAAATAACTTAAGATATATTAATCATCGCTCAAAATCTGTGGGAGATTGGTTTCAGAACTCTCTACAGATACCAAAATCCACAGAAACTCAAGTTCCTTATAAGAAGTGGCATGTTATTTGCATATTACCTATTTATCCTTCTCCTATATACTTCAGATCATTTCTACATTACTTATAATACCTAATATAATGTCAACTGCTGTGAACATAGTTGTTAATACTACATTGTTTAGGGAATAATAAAAAAAAAATCTGTACATGTTCAGAACAGAAGCAGTTTTTTTGTTTGTTTGTTTGTTTGTTTGTTTGTTTTTGACACAGAGCCTCATTCTGTGGCCCAGGCTGGAGCGCAGTGACATGATCTCAGCTCACTGCAACCTCCGCCTCCTGGGTTCAAGCGATTCTCCTGCCTCAGCCTCCCAAGTAGCTGTGATTACAGGCACGCACCACCATGCCTGGCTAATTTTTGTGTTTTTCATAGAGACAGGGTTTCACCATATTGGCCAGGCTGGTCTTGAACTCCTGACCTCAAGTGATCTGCCTGCCTCAGCCTCCCAAAATGCTGAGATTACAGACATGAGCTACTGTGCCCAGCCATCCTGAATATTTTTGATCTGTGGTTGGTCGACTCCATGGATGTGGAACCCACGGATACAGAAGATTGACTCTATTTTCAAATCAACTAGACATAAATATAAAGCTCTCTACAAAAAATAGGACATCTTGAGTCTTAAATATTAGTAACTTTTTCCCTTTTTTTTTGAGATGGAGTTTTGCTCTTGTTGCCCAGACTGGAGTACAATGGTATGATCTCAGCTCCTCACAACCTCTGCCTCCTGGGTTCAAGCAATTCTCCTGCCTCAGCCTCCTGAGTAGCTGGGACTACAGGCATGTGCCACCACACCTGGCTAATTTTGTATTTTTAGTAGAGACGGAGTTTCTTCATGTTGGTCAGGCTGGTCTCGAGCTCCTGACCTTAGGTGATCCACCTGATTTGGGATTACAGGCATGAGCCACTGCACCTGACCAGTACCTTCTATAAGACAGTCAGTGGTGTCTTTGCATAAGAACTAGCCTTTAGTCAAAGGCTAAAGAAAAAATTGTGATTAAATTATTAATAGCTTAACCATGCATTGTGAATGCACTAGCATGTTTGGTATTTCTAAGATGGACAGTCTAAATGTAATGTACCTTTTGTTTCTAAATTTCTTTTTTATCTGAAGATGAAGTTTGTATGTGGCTTCATTCTGGAACCTCGGCTGTTGATTCAACAGAAAAAGGGACAGATTGTTCCAACTGAGCTTGCACTTTACCTAAAGGAGACTCAGCCTGGGTTGCTTGTGGCTTCAGTTCTGGGCTTGCAGAAGAACAACAAAATTGGAATTGAAGAAGCAGATTCCTTTTTTAAGGTTTGTCACTTTGAAAATGTGATTTTGCTTTATTGCCTCATAAAATTGGTGGTGGAGAGGGACAGAATAAGAGAAGTGAGTTTTTCATTTGTTTGTTTATTGAAAAAAAAAACAGAAATACATAATCAGTTCATAAGATAAAAGTACAAATTAAAAGACTGTATCTGGAGAAACTTTATTTGTACAACCTAGAATCTGTTTCCTTTTAAAATGTCTAAATTTGCCTTTGTCATGGCACTAATGCTAATGGTAAATTACTAATTACATGGCCCATGTGATGATATGATATTCAGCCCAGCTGTTGCTTTATCAGTGCTATATTTATCTGTAATACATAGGCTTTTACTGTTTTCAAGGTGCTTTGTGCTAAGGATGAAGATACAATTCCTCAGCTCTTGGTAGACTTTTGGGAAGCTCAGATAGTGGCATGTCTCCCAGATGTGTTGCTTCAGGAACTCTTTTTCAAGCTCACATCACAGTACATCTGGAGATTGTCTAAGAGGCAGTCTCCTGACACCACACCATTAAGAACATCAGAGGATCTGGTAAGATAATGGAATAATACCTTAAATTTAACTCATACATTACCCATTACAAAAACGTACCTTCTTATTTTTAATAATTCATTATATAAAGTCTAACCTGGTTTTCTATTACCAGGTATCTTATTTACGCAGGAGTTAAAAATACATGTAAAATTTGTCGATGACTAAAGTGACCTACATTTTAAATAATGTTGTACCCTAAAGAATGTCAGCCAGGTGCTATGGCTCATGCCTGTAATCCCAGCACTTTGGGAGGCGAGGCAGGTGGATTACCTGAGGTCAGGAGTTTGAGACCAGCCTGGCCGACATGGTGAAACGTAAAAATATAAAAAATTAACTGGGTAGGGTGGCATGCGTTTGTAGTCCCAGCTGCTCAGGAGTTGAGGCATGAAAATTGCTTGAACCCAGGAGGTGATTTTGGTGAGCCAAAATTGCGCACTGCAATCCAGCCTGGGTGACAGAGTGAGACCCTGTCTCAAATAAAAAAGAAAAAAAGAATGTCCCCTACTTATTAATGTCCCTCACTTACTTGCAGTGGTAGCTCAGTTGCTAAAGCATGGAGGAAGGGATTTCTTCCAGAACATCACCACATCTGTATCCTTCCTCAGCAGAGGATAATTAAGTAGTACATAAGAGAGAAGACATCTGCAGACCTCCTCGGTAGGAGAGGAACTGCAGAATGCTGTGGGAGGGAGACTTCCTTAGTAGGCCTCCATTTCCTGTCAGTTGCACATACGGCAGCTGTTCTGTGGCACGAGGCAGCTAGTAACAACTCTTTGTACCCTTCTTTCTACCCTTCTCGCTCCCAGCCCATTTCTCTCCCAGCTTGTTAGCCATGACTAATAAGGATTAAGAGGAAAAGTTACCAGCTTTTTGAATGAGAGGGGCTTCTTGGGAATTGTCTTGAGAATTTATGGAAGATATTTTGCCTTCTAAAGAAAGTAGTATTAATAAAAATTATTTCCAATATTCTTTTTAGGTATAACTGGCTTAAATGCAGTATTGCCGTTTTTGCTGGGAAGTGCCTCTTTGGAGTATTTAAATTTTAGTATTTAGTGTAAAAGCAAGCAAGACTGAAATATTTTCCAGGGAAATACATTCTAAAAAAAAAAAACTTTCCTTTCCATTCCCAGGGAAGTGTGTACCTAATTCTATGACATGGCAGAGAATGAATGATTGCTTGCTCTTTGTGAAATGGATAAGCAAGCTTTTGTTGCTATATTTTGTTTATGAGAAATTCTTTTATGTTTTAGATAAATGCCTGTAGTCATTATGGCTTAATTTATCCATGGGTTCATGTCTTAATATCATCTGATTCATTAGCTGATAAAAATTACACAGAAGATCTTTCAAAACTACAGGTAAGTAAAAGTACCTATTTTTCTTGTGAAAATGCATATTACAATATAGTGTAAGATTTAAATTTGGTGAGAACCCAGGTGTCCTGTTAATCTGGAATGTAGAATCTTGGGGGACAAAATTTATAGTTAGGATTACTCAGGAGACTTGGAGGGAATTCCTGCCTCTTCCTGAAACTGATGATGGATGGGGCACCTATGCTGAGCGGTGTTTTCGTTGCAGGTGGATGGATGAACTTCACCAAGTCTCCTGGCTGCTTTCCTCATTTTCAGGATGTACTTGAAAACACTTTGTGAAATGAAAGTGTGGCAGATGTTTAGTAGTGTTTTTATTGCTGTAGTTTGTTTTTGTTAGTGTTAACTTACACATTTTAGGCCTATAACCCAAGCCAGGCACTACTATGTCTCTTATAAGAAACAGGTCAAAGTCGTCCATTAATCTAGTTCCTGAAAAGAATTTTTCAAAAATGAATGGGATGATTAGAAAATGTGGATCACCCTTTAATAATTCTGACTGCAACAGTATTTTGGCTGGCAGTGAGAAATGAAGTCCACATTTGACTTGGTGGATCAGGCTGGGCTACATGAGCATATGATTTTATTTAACATACTTCCGTGGCCCAAAGACTGAATGTAATTCCCACATCTGTTTTCTTTGGTCTTCCCAGTGTAGTTGCTAACATACAAAAATTAAGAGTTGGGGAGAGATGGCAGGGGGAGAAATGCCAGATATAGGTGAGGGGGAGGAAGGTAGCAAATCACACTGCTATGTGTGTACCTATGCAACAATCTTGCATGTTCTTCACATATACCCCAAAACCTAAAATGCAATTTAAAAAATAAAGAAATAAAAGATTTCCTATTAAGAATTCTGAGTTTCAAGTCACTCTTGAAAAATTCAGCAGAACCGTTAACCCGAGGCCCTCATTGCTCTACCTGAGGGTTGGGGCTGACCTGCAGCCCCTCCTTGGGCAGTGCTCACACTGTCCTCCCCAACAGTTACCATCTTTGTGGCATCCTGACCCAAATGCTGGGTGTCTGTTTTCCTTATCACAGCTGCCCTCATGCATCTCATCAGTTAATTGGCCTCTTTAGGCTTTTGAATTTGCACTGCCTCATTTACACTATGGGAACTGGTATAAGCGTGGTTGTTACTTAATGTCAAATTGGGAAGGGGACTTAGAATATGGAAGCTGAAGAGGCCATATTGCTTAGACTCAGCCTTCAGGTGGGGCTGTGGTGTTCCCAGAGATGACATTTTTTATGTGCTTCTTTAAAAAAATAACCAAAGAAGACTCTTGTCTCTTGTCTCTAGTGCCATTGTGATACAAAGGATTCTGAGGGCCTAGCCTCAGATTTTGCTTATTTCACAAATATTGCTTGAGCATCTTCTATAGATGTTATGGGCAGCATTAGGCAAGACAGGTGGAGCCTTCCTAGAACATATACACTAATTACATATTTAAAATTGTAATTGGAATAAGTGCTATTAAATTTTCCCTCATAAAGCTTTAAAGCATATTTCTGATTTCTTGAAAATGTATAATTCAGTGATCTTTTAAAATTTATTTTAAAAAATTCTAAAAGGGTGCATTCTTTCTGGGAATCTTTGCTATTAAAGGAGAAACATAGTCTGCCTAAATTTTTATAATTTTTTTTTTAAGAGACAGAGTCTCACTCTATTGCCCAGACTGGAGTGCTGTGGCAATCACGGCTCACTGTAACCTTGAACTCCTGGGTTCAAGCAGTCGTCCCACCTTGGCTTCCCAAAGTTCTGGGATTACAGGTGTGATCCACTGCAGCTGGCCTTATTTTCAAACTTCTTGATTACTTGGATAAAACTAAGTAAAAGTTCATGGGTAGTAGAAGTTATGACTAGTTTCATTTTAGTCATGATTTGGTACACATCCCTTGCTCCTTCCTATTGCCCCTGCTCCCTCCCCCATTATCTGGATTAGTGAAGAGTTAAATATAGAGACAATCTCTTTTCTTCCATGTTGGGAGAGCCTTTGAGTGAGAGATTATCACCTAATTTCATTTCTGCCATCTGATTGTCAGGAAGTCATTCACATGAATAATTTATTAAACTTGCAGGAAGAAAAGGGACCAACCTTATTCTCCTGGTCATTCCTTGGTAGATATTTGGAATAAAATAATCACACTGACTGTGATTGGATAGATAACATTCCACATTCTCCTGTGAGTCTCAGAAGATGCTATAGCAGAAAGGATACAGGGAAAAGAAAATTAGGACATGACCATCTCATCTTTATCCTGGAGAAAGGGAAAGTGGAGATGATTTTGGTGGTAGAATCAAAAGTAGTATATATAGTTTAATTGCTTAAAGTAAATATTGGTAAAGTTGTAAATGCTGAGATAATACTGCTCCCTGTCATTCATCTTATGACAAAGTGGTATCGATACAAATGATTAGTTCTAAACAATCACTTCAGTTTTCTTAAGTGTTAAATTTTATTTTTGGATATATATGTAGCACATGCTTATTATAGAAAATTTGGAAAATACAGGGACAGGTGTAAAGAAAACAAAGAATGGGCTTTGTTGGCCCATCCAGTTTGCTGTTTCAAATGGCTGTGCTCGTCCAATAGGATTTTGGTATGTGCATTTACCCATGTAGATTTTATAAAACCAGTCCTGTTCAGAATATAATTTTGTATTGAATTTTTTTTAACTTATTTTATCATAAGCATTTTTTCATTAACTAGCCTTTGAAAATAGTTTTGATGGCTGTGTAATGTTCCATTATGTGAGTATGCCATAATGTATTTACTCATCCTTTATTAACATGTAGATTACTTCTAAATTTTCAGTATTGTGAATACTCTTGTGGTAAACATCATTGAACGTGAATCTTTCACCGCAATATTGATTATTTCCTTAGGAGATAGTCCTAAAGAATTCCCATTGGTTTTAATTTGCAGTACACACAAAGCAAATAAAATCATGTTATTTAAAAATGTTTACTTTCTATTAAATAGATCTTCAAACTAGAGGTAGTTTCAAGATGATATTATACTTTATTCTACTTAGTTTTATTAAATAAGGAGCACATGCATGTGCTCTGATACTGCATTCTTTCTATTTTATTTTTGGGAAGTGAAGTTTAGTCTTTCTTAAGAAATTGAATTCTGTATGTTTTAGTTTTTGGGGTGCCTCATTTCATAACATTTCACTTTTCTGTTCATAGTCTCTTATATGTGGTCCTTCATTTGACATAGCTTCCATTATTCCATTCTTGGAGCCACTTTCAGAAGACACTATTGCTGGCCTCAGTGTCCATGTTCTGTGTCGTACACGCTTGAAAGAGTATGAACAGTGCATAGACATATTGTTAGAGAGATGTCCAGAGGCAGTCATTCCATATGCTAACCATGAACTGAAAGAAGAGAACCGGGTATGCTTTTCAGATTATGTTTTTAGGCTTGATCAGTGATAATCAGATTTGATAACCTCATTTCCTTTCCTGCAAAATGGTTATAATTTATGCTAGTCCAACTTCATAGGGCAGTGTGGGTCCAGTGAGCATATATATTTACTATGTTATGTGTTTTGAATACTATTAAATGCTGTTAAAATATATGGAGATGGTGTATTACCATCATTAAAAATCTCTTGTTTGGAGATGAAGTAGTTGATTACCTGAAGATTTGGGAAACAGTGTGTGAGGGGAAAATATTTTCTCTGCCATATGGTTTTTAGTTTAGAAATTAGAAGAATTTTGGACCTTAGTTCTTTTTTTTTCTTCATGCCTTCTCTCTTGCCACATAAGAGATGGTAATGGGATATGTCTGTTACTTCTTGAAAATAGCCAGGTACATATGTACAATATATGTATTATTGGGTTTTCAAGTTACAAACCTGATTTTTACGTTATCGTTAAGGCAGAAGACTGGCTGCTGATATAACTTGTGTTATAACAAAATTAGTTGCCTTAACCAAAATGGTATATTTTTGCTCTGTGCTTTCCTGCACAATCCTCTTATTCTCCTTTGAAATCTGAGAATAAAATGCATCAAAATCAAATTTATTCTTTTTTTTTCTAAGATAGACTCTGTGGTGGAAAAAACTGCTGCCTGAACTTTGTCAGAGAATAAAATGTGGTGGAGAGAAATATCAACTCTATTTGTCATCATTAAAAGGTAAAATGATTATTTTTAGTTGATTATAAACTTAAGAGTCTCCGTTTTAAATTTAGTGAAGCCTTCTTTCTCTAGTATTTTCATGTGATTCTCAAGTGAGAGAGAGGACCTTGCAGAACCGTCTCAGGAGCTTATTTTCAGCATTCACATACCCTCCCCTTGACATTTGATTGATATTCATTTATTTCCTAGTCACAGAACTGATGTTCTTTTAACTTAATCCTTTCAAACACTTAATAAATTATCACAGTCATAGAAAATGACAGCATCAATGTTTTAAAATTGTGAGTAATCATTAAGGCAATTACATCTTTTATTAATGATCAGAGTACTTAATTTACTTCATGTAGGAAGTTAAGATCATTACCATTAAACATAATTATAAGCAAGTATTGACGAACAACAACCTCAAGGATTTAAAAGTTGAGTATCTAAATTGTACAATATTTTACAGCATAGTAATTTGAATTTTCATCATCATAAGTCTTGATAGATATGTAATCCATTTCTATACTGCTATCTGTTAATATAATTAGTTAACTGTTGTCCTGATGACAAAGGGTATGGGTATATCGATTGCAGAGCACATAAAATATTAGAAATTGACAGTGTTGAAATTGTGCTTTCCAGCCAAGACAGTTGATTTTTAAAATAAAAGGCAGAGCCAGTGGCCATTGGAGATTATTTTTCTGAAGATCCCCCTTTAATTACAGCTGTATGCTTGCGATTGGGAAGGGAAAGGGATGACTTTATTCTTTTTCCTCCCCATCTCCCTGATTGCTTTTGGTTTTCAGAAGAAGGAAGTGTCAGGTGTCTGATTGCTTTGCCACACTTAGATACACTTTACATAATTTATCATTGACTGTTTGTGTTGGTGGAGCACTTTCTAGTGCAGGCATCCCGCATCTTTGCACCTCAGCATCGTCATTATCTTAATCAGAAGACTTTCTTCCTCTTTTTCTGATCCACATCCACACACACTCCAACTCACCAACAATCATTCCTCCAAATGTTGTATTTTTCTCTGTCTTGGAAATATATTTGTGTGCATACGTGTGTGTGTGTGTGTGTGTGTGTGTGTGTGTGTGTGCATGTGTGGCTAATGGGACTAAGTGCCATGTGTGATTTACCTTTATTAGACTGTAATACCTCAAGAGCTGGCATAGTGTTTTATTCATTTTTCACGTTAACACCTTCCTCACCAGCAATATGCCTCTCCTATAAGAAGCATCCTGTAACTGTTCATTGAGTAGAAAGGAAGACAGCTGAAGAACTTTAGGTTCGTTTCACAGGAGGGCTTTTTCTTGATAGTTGTACACTGAGAAGAGCCCTGGATTGGGATCTGGAGAATTGGTACTGAGTTCCAGGTCTGCTGCCTCCTAAGTGACCTAGAGCAAGCCAGTTTTCTAATGTCACGAGACTAATGAGAAGTTCAGGACTAAATCAAAAGTTAAATGTTAGGCAAAATTGCAAGAAGGTAAGGTTGGAGATGGAGTTCAGGGACTTATATGTTTAGGAGCTTGGATTTCTTCTCTCTCTAATGCAGCATTTCTCAACCTTGGCACTGTTGACATTTTGGACCATATAATGATCTGTGTGCATGGGAGCTTCCCCTGTGCATTTTAGTGTATTAAACAGTATCCCTGGTCTCTACTCATTAGATGCCAATAGTACTACCCCAGTTATAACAAACAAAATTGTCTCCAGATTTTGCCAGATGTCTACTTTGGGACAAAATTGTCCTGGTTGACAACTGCCACACTAAGACAGAACCATTAAAACAGGGATTAGTGGATGGGTTGTTTGTTTAAGGAAATAAATATTCAGTACTGTTTTTGTAATGACCCATGCTTATTTTTAAAAATTCTAGTACTGTAGTAAATTATAAAAATAAAGTTTAAAAATCATTTAAAATCCCACCATCCAGAAATAACTATTTTCAACCTTTGACCAATATTTTTTAGACGTGCTGGAGGATTTTAATTGTACAGATTTACATTTAGATAGATCATTTATACGTTACTTGTAGACTTGGGTAACTAGCGAGTGGAGTAAAGCAAGTAATTTTAACCTTAGCCTCAATTTTTCCAACTCTAAATCAGGCGTAATACTGGGATGCGGCTTGGATTGAATAAATAAAAACCTCAAAGGATACTAGAAGGAATTAAAGAGAAGTTATATATGAAAGCACTATATTAATTTTTAAAGTACTCTATGAATTTAAGATATTGAACTTGTTCTTGGAGTGATAACCTGTATTAGCCCCTCCTTATTTGGGAGAAGAGCAGAATTGGGAAGTGGTGAGATTTTTGTTAACTCTGTAACAACTCTACACTAGCTCTCCAATAATTTTTTTTGTTTCTAAGATACTACTTAAAGGCTCCACATTTAGGTAAGTACACTGGTTTGATAGGAAAACATCAGTAATACATATTTTTCACATAGATTTTGCAAACTAGTTAGTAGTTGCTTTGATTAAGGTCTGATTTTATGTCAGCTGTGCATTATTATATTTTAGCTTTTGAATTAAAAGCTGGAACTAAAAGGAACTGTGGAAGCTAGCAGACAGTACTACTACATTATAGATGAGGAACCTAGGATTTCAGAGGTTAGGTGACTTGCTTTTTTTTGAGACAGAATCTCACTGTCTCCAGGCTGGAGTGCAGTGGTGCAATCTCGGCATACTGCAACTTCTGCCTCCTGGATTCAAGACATTTTCCTTCCTCAGCCTCCTGAGTAGCTGGGATTACAGGTGCACACCACCACACCCAACTAATTATTGTATTTTTAGTAGAGACGGGGTTTCACCATGTTGCCCAGGATTGTCTCGATCTCTTGACCTCATGATCTGCCCGCCTCAGCCTCCCAAAGTGCTGGGATTACAGACATGAGCCACCACGCCCAGCAAGGTGACTCTCTTAAAGTCACTGAGTAGGTGGAAAAGTCTGGATCTCTTCCCAAGTGTGTCTGGATTCCAGAACTAGGAATATTTTCTATGAGCCATTGCTGCTGCATTCATTAACTCTTCAGCAACAAAGGCCAGTCATTCTTTTGTGTA